CGATTTCACGGGAAGAAAGTTTAAAGTTTTCGACTTAAAATGTGACGTGATAATTATTTTATCTTAAAAAAAAACTGTGCGCACAGTTTCTTTGTTGTTTTTTTTTAAAGTGGATTTTGAAATGTTGAGATGTGCAAAAATCCTTACCGTGCGGACAGTTTCTTTATTTTTTTTTAAAAAGAAAGAGGTTTTTTGAAATTTTGCGATTTGCATATACGTGATTTAAGGGAGGGGGGGAAAAAGTTCCGAACTTTTACTTTTTACAAAATGAAGTGGAGTTTTGGAACTTTTTGTCAACCGACCTCTTGTATCTTCTTTTGCTACTTCAAATCACAGTCTTCTTCTTGAATCTTCTTGAATCAATGGGTGAGTACATTAATGTTTATTTAGGGGATAGTTTCAGGTTTGCCGACGTTGCCAACTCCTCCAAATGGTAACAAAAATTGTCATGAAATAATTTGCGGAAATGATCGCCGATTTCCAGCCCCTTTTTCAGTTCCTCGCGGAAATGACCGCCGCCCCGCTGTCAGATGCCGCCCGGCACGAAGCCTTGAAAAGGCAGAGATTAAATCACGACGAGAACTGGCCAAACTGGAGGGGGCATTGCTCGGGAAAGTTCGTTACTGGGGAAAAATACGCCCCCCATTCTTTATCGCGAGGGATCGTCCATGTTCGTGGCAGTTTTTCAAACGTGTATGAGAGGGGGCGGAAAAGTTTGTAAAGTTGCCAAACGGCGGCGTTGCCACTTCGGTCAATTAAAGTTATACTACATCCGCGCAACACTGAAAAAAATTCTCGGCGTTTTTACCAAGGTCCGTTGGTACTTTTAGCATCTCACTTTTTTTACCAATTACTGGTAATTTTACCAAGACAGACTGGTAAACTTGCCTAAAAACCGGAATTTTAACTGTTTTTTCAGGTAAGAATACCACTTTTATTGGTAATCAATTCCCGGTAACCTTGCCATTTATCTCGGTAATTTTACCACAATCGATAAAAAATATTGGCATTTTTACTGGGGTCCAGTAAAATTACCGAGAAAGTCAATAATTTTACAGAGATTTCTCGGTAAAATTACCAATTCCATAAATGGTAATTTCAACAAGAAAAAACTGGGATCAAATAGAACCCTGATTTCTTGATAATTTTACCCTTTTCTTAGTAAATACACCGAGATTTTTTTTCAGTGTAGAGGATCGATAAGTCGCAGGCAATTAGTCGAATCAGGCATTTTATCAAATACTTAAACAGACAGTCAAATTTTGACAGTTTATGAAAATTTGTAAATTTCTGGTGAAGAGCTAACGAGTTTTCAATATTTTGAGAAAAATAACTCATCAAATATACGAACTCTTAATATTGTTTCTTCCTCTTCGAACGCCTCTCATGTATTTAAATGTTAAAATGTTAAAGAATCTGTCTTTTATTACATGCTGATAACTTCAAGATGAATGTTTATTCAGGAACGAAAAATCGTTTAAAATATTATTGCACGATCCAAATTTTTACAGAAAATCCTTAATTACTGGGAAATTACATATTTTTCCTAAATTCAGGAAAAAAATCAGAATCACATTCCACGGAAGAATATTTGACTTTTTTTCTTGGCGTTTGACAAAATACTTGATTTTACTATTTGCCTGCGACATATATAGTTCAAGTACTGCAGAAAATAAATGATGATAGAATTTTTGTCATATATAAGGTGTCACCAATACTTTTAAATCGTGGAAAAATAGAAGGGAAATAAAGATTGGTGAATTTACTTCTCTTCTTGATTTTAGATACAGTAATTCAGTAATGTACGTCTTTTGCAAGTAAGTCTACGCATATTCAAAGCATTTCACTGTCGCATTAAAGTCGTCCGTTGAAATAAGAAAACTATCACGGATCGAATAAAATCTCCTGACGGTCACAAAACTTTGCTGAAGAAATACATTACTGAATCACCAAAGTCTAAAATCAAGAAGAGGAGGAAATTTTACCAATCGTCATTTTCTGTGAAAAAAGTAACTCAGGATTTCTTTACTTTATCATCCTCGAGACTCTTTGAAGACGTAACAGGCATTTTAGACGTCCAAATCCTGGCTTTTTCGTGAAAGTCGCACAATGCGACAGCTATGGTCGAATAAATAATCACAAAAGCCAGACACTGCGATACCAGTTGGGAATGTTTGATTTATTTTTAGACATTATGAACGGGTGTATGAAACTGTAGCGATGAGTAGGGGTGAGTACTTAATGGAATCAAATCCGAACCAAAATAGGAGAGTTATTGCACTGCCAGGAGCCGAGATAAGTGATATTTCCGAGGAATACGCTCGAGCGATTCATGGCCACATTTCTGGAATCAATTATAAAGTTTGGACCGTCCACGGAACAACTAATCTAACCGAATTTTTCAAAAGAGCGATTATTTTTAAGTTCTCTATTTTTGTTGCAGACGTAAAACGCTCGTCGGTATCCGAAGTTGGTGTGTTTTAAGCGCTCAATGATGGAAAGAGCTTTTTGATTTCGACCTGCCTACAGAATTTTAGTAGGCTAGTACGTGAAAAACTGGTGAGGTTTGCGATTGAAAAGATGCCGTTTTGAGGAAAATGAATTTTAAGTTTTAATCCAACACTAGAAAAAAAACACATTAGATCTAGAGTCCAGACTCTTAATAACACCGACAAGAAAAAGTACTCTTGATTCGATAGGAATCTAGCTCAAATCAAGAACCAAGCCTCTAACGATAATTTAAGCGGATTTCGTTTTGATTCAAGTAAAAATCCGATTGAATCAAGAGTATTTTTTCTTGTCAATGTTTTCAAGAGTCTCGACTCTAGATCCAATGTGTTTTTTTTCCAGTGAACATGTTCAGGGTTGAAATTGTTGAACGAGAGTGCAATTATTTTCCATTCTCAATCGGCACAAAAAAGTTTGAGTGACGTCATTTGTTACTTATTCTTTGAGATAATAAAGAGAGTTTTTTTAACCAAAAACTCAAGCTCCGTTCTTTCATATCCACTCGACAAAACTAGTTATTTTTAAATATGTGCTTCGCTCTACTATAAATAATATTTTTGGAGGTAGACGGTCACATTTCATTAATTTTCTGCTTTTACAATAAGGCGATTTGTGAGAGTTGTTGTAAATATTTCCTGTAAGCGTAGAAATAATTCAAATGATTTTTATACAAGAAAATTCCTCAAAGCTTTTGCTTACACAAAAAATTAAATTTAAATTGGACTTAAAACATTTTTTTGCAATTTAGTCACATATCATTCCTAAATCCGGCGGTTTGAATAATGACTGCGAGACTTCAAAATCACGGGTGACAGATTCTCCTGCTTCGATCCGTTAAAAACTCTAATTGGTATGCAAATAAAATCCGATAGTGGAGTTCGCAACGTTGCTAACCAAAATATGCGCTTCTCTTATTTCACCATCGATATTTATGCACTTCGTAAGACGGGACAAATGCTTTCAAATTATACATCCACCTGAAACCTTTGATTTGCATGTGATCAATATGCACGTTAATTTGCAAGTAAGACGAGAGATCGAGCAATGCGATGCAGCATTGCAAATCAAGCATGAGCTTCGAAAATTAACAAAAACTGTCAGAATTTGAGCCCATTCTTCCATGAAATAATGTAGATCTCCGTACAAGCACTTCGAAGGTGGAATAACCGAACCACGTACCTCGACGTCGCACAGTGGACCGAGTCAATTAGAGAGGTCTGACATGAAATTTTTTATTGGTATTTGGAGTGTAGCCGAGTGTCAGAAATAATGTAAAATTTTCTTTAAAAAATTTACATTTAATTAACAAACTTAGACCGAAGCTTTTTGAAGCAAACGCTTCATCGTCAGGGTCACAAAATCGATATCACAAAGGCCATAATTTAATTTCAAACAAGGTAACAGGTTATTAAATTATGGCCATATTGATATCCATTTTGTGACCCTGGCGATGAAGCGTTTGCTTCGAAAAGCTTCGGTCTAAGTTTGTTAATAAAATGTAAGTTTTTTAAAGAAAATTTTACATCATTTCTAGCACTCGGCCACACTCCAAATACCAATACATTCAGTGCTACTACCTTTCAGACATTGTATTACAATGTTCGCTGATTTTGAAATTTTTTACTAAAACTGCAAATTTTGATGTTTGATTTGTCACATTTTCAATTACGAGGAAATTTTGCGAGGAAACCAATGGAACCACTTTTAAAACCTCAAAGTTTTTATGAACGGAATCGTCAGTTTTTAGAGTTTCTAAATTTGGTCCGACCTCTTCGATTGACTCGATCCACTCTGCGTCGTGGACTTCCTGTCACACTTTATTTTTTAAAAATATGGAAAACTATTCAACGTCAATTCTTGAAACGTCCGTAATTTAACTTATTAGTGTGAGAAAAAAATCTGTGAAAACTTTAAGGAATGATATTGGATTGTTCTCCTTCACAAAAATAAAATGGGAACGGAGTTTTCTATATACCCCCCCCCCAAAAAAAAAAAAAAAAGTCCAAGACTTCCGCCCTTTTCGCATGTCACCAATATTTCCCTTCCCTATTAATCAACGTTAAAACGATGGACTTCCGCCGTTCTTCGCAGAGTCGATGTATATACATTAGAGGAGTGCAAAAATGAAAAAAAAAGTTGATTTTGAAAAATTTGGACTTCCACCCTTTTCGCATGTCTCGATTCAATCAGCAGATTTAGTCAAAAATTTCACGTCCGACGTGCCTCTCTGACATTAGCTGGTCCAGAAAATTGGCAACACTGTTTTCCTCCATTTAAACCTACGCAAATGTATCGATTCTTGGAGGGGCCAGGTACTCCGACAAGAATCGATTATTTAGCGTGGATTTAAACGGAGGGAATCCGGTGTTGCCAAATTGCTGAATCCGCCGCTCTGCTCTCTGATTGACTCGACCCACTGTGCGGCGTAAGTTTTTTTTTTCGATGAGACCCGAGGCGGAACGGGAAGAGGAACAGGGTGGAATGAAACTCACCGTTGTTTTTTTATTCCGGTGCAGGGGTCCGGAGCAGTGGAAACCGGAACACTGGAACACAAAACAAAACAAACGTGTATTACAATTACGCCGGGATGCAGCGCCAACGCGACGCTCAAAGAATGAACGGCCGCTGAGGTTACGCTTGCTAGTTTTTATGTCCGGATTTATATTTTGATAATGTGGGATACAGCAGGTTGCGCATTAGATACCTCCAGGTTACAAGAGAAAAAAAACAAGCAAAAAGCATGAACATTCTTTCATGGGAAAAGAAGCTCGCTGTGGGAACCAAGTGGGAAAATTTTGAAACCACATGGAGCCCGCATTGGAAAAAAAACACATTGGATCTAGAGTCCAGACTCTTGAAAACATTGACAAGAAAAAATACTCTTAATTCGTTCAGATTTTTGCTTACATCAAAAGGAAATCCGCTCAAATTAAGAGGCTTGGTTCTTGATTTAAGCTTAAATCTGGTTGAATCAAGAGTATTTTTTCTTGTCGATATTTTTAAGAGTCTGGACTCTAGATCCAATGTGTTTTTTTTCCAGTGCGAATGTTCAGTGGCGATATATTGATAGACAAAGCTATAGACAAAGAGGACTCACGGAAAATTCGTTTTTATGTCCGGATTAATATTTTGATAATGTGGGATACAGCAGGTTGTGCATTAGATACCTCTAGGTTACAAGAGAAAAACAAGCAGGAAAGTTCTAATACTGTCGTATTAGAAAAGCGCTCAGGTGTTAGTAAATGTATTTAGTGAAGAAAGGACGTATAAACTCCGTCGACTTGGCTGGGAAATGGAAATAAAACATCAGCTGATAGAAAACAAAGGTTACCAAGGAAACCGTAAACGCGTATTTTTGTTTCCCGAAAAATAGCTCACCGTTGAGCTCATCAGGCGCGTTTTTTTTAGGCTTCATTTGAGTTCAACGATCAATTTCGATAAGAATTACTCTACCGCTAGGAAATTTTCTTATAGACAAACGATCGAAACTACCTGCGCATTACGTTAAAAGCATAAAATACAGTTTTCACAGCTTTATTTATTTTAAAATTGGACCCCCACAAAAAGCCTACACATCGATGAGCTGGTGCGCCATTTAAACGCATTAGCACTAGTATACTAGTACTCAGAGGCAAGTCGAAATCAAAAAGCGCTGCCTATCGGCTGAGCGCTTAACATGAACATTCTTTCATGGGAAAAGGGGCTCGCTATGGGAACCAAGTGGGAAAATTTTGAAACCGCATGAAGCTCGAATGTTCAGTGGCGATATATTGATAGAGAAAGCTATAGACAAAGAGGACAAATGGAAAATAGAGCGATCTAGTCGGTTAAAACGGGTGGTTCTTACATAGCCTGAGAGGGAAAATGATTGACTAATCAAAGGATAACTTGTGGGTTGCCGTTAGTTAGTCTATTGCTTACCTCCTTTGTCAATTGCATCCACCCGCATCCACAAATAGGATCGCTCCGTTATTTCCTAGTCTTCTTTGGCTATCAATTTGTCTACCGATTTCAATAATCAGCACGCAGGCTCTTTTTCCTGAAAATTTTAACCCAGTCCATCCCTGCAGAGAATGGTTTTGTAGCCGTAGTTACTTAGTTATTTTAAAAACTGACGGTCCATCTGTACTTTAAAAGGATTGCAATCTCACGCGCTAGCTAATGAGTAAAAAATGTCATTTTTGTCTCCTTGTTTGAAAAATTACTGAAAATTTGGAGGGGTCAGCTCGATTTTAAAACGGTGTAACTCTGTCAATGTTTGACCTAGAAAGCTCAGGGTGGTCTAGCCTTATCAGCTAAGTATACAAAACACGAACGCATTCAAATCTACTTGAATGAAACATTGAAATAATGTTTCTAGTTTCATCGCGGAAAAAATAAGATTACAGTCAATGTTCACATTGGTTTACCCGAATAAATCAGGCAACGTCGCAAATTGAAGTATGAATGTTTTTAACCTCACCGTTGGTGATGCAAACATGTGTAATAACACGTGCAGGCGCTTTCGCTAGGTAATTTCAATGGAAATCGTTCTCCTCCGCCATGAAGTCGAAGCGATAGCGTTGAAGGCGCTGTGAGCAACTATTCCGCCACGGAAGTGTTGCACAGTATCAGACGAGATTGAAGGCGCACTAACGTAAGTGACATGACTGGAACCGTTTACCAACGGGTTGAGTCCTACTGATCGTACAATACGCGGCTCCTGTTCAGAGGCGTGGCGTGAAAAGATTAAAATTAGTAGAAAATGGCAACCGGTAAAGTTTGGCTCCTTTCTGAGGAGTTCGATCCGGCGCCTTTAACGAGGATAATCGGGTGCAATAATCTCACCCGACAAAAAATGCGGTGGGGCAGCTGGCGATAATTTTTCAAAATTTCGGCCGGCGCGCCAGTTGGCCGGCCAAGTCGTCGAGGCGCTTTTATTAAATTTCCCGACGCTTTTGACGCGCTGCCATCTCTCGCTTCGCATGTCCGGTAAAACCAACGGAACCGGAATGGGGAAACCTATGTAGGTATGCTGTTTTAGATAGTGTTCTTCGGCGCGGTAACAACTGGCCTGTTATTGCACCGTCCCGCAACTTTCCTGAGAGCTTGGAAACGAGGACTTTTAGATGGGTTTCCAACCATGTGCTGTAAAAGTTCGCATACGTGTTCGGGGTTCATTATTCTGTCGGGATCAGGGTGTAATGTGTGACGAGTCGAGCAAGAATATGCATTGATCCGGAAACTCAGATTGTACACTGCAGCGATACACACTGAAAAAAAAATTCTCGGCGTTTTTACCAAGGTACCTTTACCATCTCACTTTTTTACCAATTATTGGTAATTTTACCAAGACAGACTGGTAAGCTTACCTAAAAACCGGAATTTTTACTATTTTTTACAGGTAAGAATACCACTTTTATTAGTAATCAATTCCCGGTAACTTTGGCATTTTATCTCGGTAATTCTACCACAGTCGATAAAAAATATTGGCGTTTTTACCAAGGTCCAGTAAAATTACCGAGAAAGTTCGATAATTTTACCGAGATTTCTCGGTAAAATTACCAATTCCATAAATGGTAATTTTACCACGAAAAAACTGGGATCGAATAGAACCCTGAATTCTTGGTAATTCTACCCTTTTCTTAGTAAATACACCGAGATTTTTTTTTTCAGTGAGTGGCGATTTGGCAAGTTAGCAACCCAGTTTTTCCTCCATTTACATACATCGGAAATATCGGGCTTCAGTGAGGCAAGATGCCTCACCAAGAATCGCTTGCTTTTCAGACATTTAGATAGAACAAAAACTGCGTTGAGAGCAATTTTCTTGGGACATTATTTTGACTTAAAACGTCGTTTCTTGTCGACAAAGTTGGGTTTTTTTTAGTTAAATCCGTGCGAATTCAACTCAATATCGTTTTTAAAGTTCAGAAGCGTTGGTATGTTATCGTTAAGATTAAGTTAAAAAAAAAAGTTATAGCTAAACACCATTTCTTTAAATAAAATACGCTGACTTTAAGTTGACTCAAAAAACCAAATTTCGTCGACAAGAAATGACGCTTTAAGTAAAAATAATATCTCAAGAATTTTTTTTTTCAGTGACTGTTGCCAACGTTATAGAATCTCTGTATCCGCGGTTATCGAGATTGGACTACCGGAGCCACCGCGGATAAGCAAGATTCGCGGATAGGCAAGATTCGCGGGTAGGCAAGATTCGCGGATAGTACGGAAGTAAGCGATTTAGCTGGAAAAAGGAATTGGAAACGATAAAAAAATCTACTAAAACACTCGTCAAATTATAGATAGAAATTAGTAGCGTGGCGTGCTTTGCTGTGTATAGATGGATCTATTTTTTAAACCTATGGGAAAGGATAGATAAACAGGGTGTTCGCAATGAACATACCTTAATAATCGATTCTTAAACACAGTTTCAAAAAAGGAAATGTCGATGGTTGATCATTACCGCCTCGCCACTGACAAGAATGTTAGCATCGGTTAAAAGGAATAAATGCTATCTCGAGGAAGTAATAACGTTAAAAATAATTTTAGGTCACATCCATCATCTTGGATTTTCGAACTTTCAAAGTTTGAGTTGAAATTCAAGTTGCTCGTCGGAAAATGGCACCTAGTACCAAGTTTCCAAAGTGGCGTGGCGTGCTTTGCGATGTATCGATTGTTATACCATGTAAACCTGTGGAAAAGGATCGATAAATAGGAGGTTCGCAGCGAACACTTTAAGGATCGATTCTTCACCATAGGTTTAAATGGCAGAACAATCGATAAATCGCAATTCACGCCACGCCACTGAACAGGAGCCGCGTATCGTACGATCAGTAGGACTCAGTCGAGTCACACACGTTAGTGCGCCTTCAATCTCGCCTGATACTGTGCAACTCTTCCGTGGCGGAATAGTTGCTCACAGCGCCTTCAACGCTATCGCTTCGACTTCATGGCGGAGGATAACGATTTCCATTGACATTATCTGGCGAGTGCGCCTGCACGTGTTATTACACATGTTTGCATCACCAACGGTGAGGTTAAAAACATTCATACTTCAATTTGCGACGTTGCCTGATTTATTCGGGTAAACCAATGTGAACATTGACTGTAATCTTATTTTTTCCGAGATGAAACTAGAAACATTATTTCAAATGTTTCATTCGAGTAGATTTGTATGCGTTCGTGTTTTGTATACTTAGCTGATAAGGCTAGACCACCCTGAGCTTTCTAGGTCAAACATTGACCGAGTTACACCGTTTTAAAATCGAGCTGACCCCTCTAAATTTTCAGTAATTTTTCAAACAAGGAGACAAAAATGACATTTTTTACTCATTAGCTAGAGCGTGAAATTGCAATCCTTTTAAAGTACAGATTGACCGTCAGTTTTTAAAATAACTAAATAACTACGGCTACGAATCTCAAATGGAGGCTTTCAGATGTATACACGTTTTCGTAAACCTTTCGTTGAGAAAATCCATTCGTCCGCGGCAAACTGATCAACCTGACGAATTCGCATCCGTGACGGACAAAAAAATTCATTTGTTTGCTCTTTATTGGGTTCGGT